AAAGTGTTATCAACATAATGACAACACTTATAGTTTTAAGATATTACTTTAAAAAAATCACGAAAAAATTATCGGTAAATATAGGTAAATATGGGTAAATATACCGGTATTATCGTATACCGGTATGACGTCATACCGGTATTTCTGCATTTCGGTTTGCATAAGGGTTTTCATAGTATTACCCAAAAATATCGGTAAAATACCGGTATTTTGCATATCGGTATAAGTCCCTGCCTGAAAGTACGAACGATTCCCTACAAAACTGCGTTGAAATTTTGTAAAAATCTTAATTACACAAACAATTATGAATTTTTAAACAAAAAACTTTTTTTTAAACAAAATTGTCAGGTTTTTTTAAACGCTTATATCTTTGAAACTACTGGAAACTTTTTCAATCTAGGTTTTTATCAATGCAAAATTATTCAAACTTTTGATTAAAAAAAAAAGAAATTTAAAAAATATCGTCTTTTTGCAGAGATATTTAATCTTAAAGTCGTGTGAGTCTTACAGACCTAGTCTGAACAACTAATAGGTCATTTTTTAAGTCTGGCATTAAAAGGTTAAACTGCAAGATGCAAAAACTTACAAGTTTATCTCATTTTTATAATTTTCTCTTGTTTTTAAATTAATCCATCTGATTAATTTGGACTGTTCAATCAATACGCTCTTTATGCAGAAAAAATGCATAAGAGTATACTTATACAGTTAAATCTTTTGTTTTATTATATTGTCAAAATCGAAATAGAAGATTGAGGCATAATAAAAACTGTGCGTGTAATATTAAATATTAAAAATATATAAATCAACTTGATATTGCATATTTATTTTTCACGAACGTCGGTATATCGATGCGGTATCACATATATAAGATGTCTGAAAAATTTTGTTTAAACCGAGATAAAATGGATTAATTTGAACAGAAAAGTCATTTGTCATTTTGCAAAATTTGCAGTAGTTATACTGCGTTATTAATTAATACATAACTAACTCAATGAGTGTATAGAAAGAGATGATCTAGATTTTGGCGCATATGATTTTCAGTTGTGAAAATCAATTGATCGCAAAAAGTTGTATCACACGCGGCTTTGTCCTGTCTCTTAGGTCTTCCGGCTGTTAGATGATTGCATGAAATAAATCTAACCATTTTTCTTTATAAGAAAATCATACACGTCTATAAAGTACGAATCTTTGCTATTCACACGCTCATTAAATCTCATTTAGTAATTAATTACTCAAATATTGCAAATCTTGTGTTTAGGGATACGATATCGAATGGAAGTATTCGATACTGTACTCATTACTTGGTATCGAATGGAAGTACTTGATACCAAAAAGGTACTTGTTCCTTAGTACTCGATACTCAAAGTATCGAGTACTTGTACTGTGCTGGTATAAAAAAAAAAAAAATGCTTACTTTCTTTAAATTTAATACTTTTCTTCTTTAGTTAATGATATTTATTGTACATTTTGTATTATTTTTTGTACAGTTATAATTTGTAATCCTTAAATTAACTCTTAATGCTTATATAATATATTTATGCTTATGCTTATACTTATGATACTTTATATTATATTATTTACTTAATTATATTTTTATTTCAATACCCATTCATCCTCATTGCAATCACTCATAAATAATATTTTTTCCATTCTCTTACCCAGTAATCTATTTCGCGTTTTGCTCATTGTTATTCCTGCTTTGGAGAAAAGACGCTCCGCCGGGACCGAAGTTGCGGGAATTAATAGATATTTTCTTGCCAATTTATACAAATTGGGGTAAACGGTTTTCATCTCTTCCCAAAGATTAAATACATCACCGTTTAGTGTTGCAATCGGATTTGATAAATATAGTGCCAGTTCGTCTTGTTTTAAATTTTGTCTGATAGATCCTTTTTTTTGTTTACTATGTGCTAGAACCTTATGGTGATTCCAAAAATCGTAAGTTTTAGCCGGACTTTCCGAATGATTGGAATCACTATCTGTGTCACTACTTGAAACAGTTTGTAAATGAAATGAAATGACATTGGCTGGACGACGCGCAAAATTGTCATGTCATGTCACTGCTGCGAACATAATAAAAAAAAAAACCAACAATGAGAGCAAGAGTCACAGTAAATTAAATCACTATGGAATCAAAATAAGCAAATTTTTATAATCCTGCACAATGAGTAAGGCATAAAAGTATTAATGCTAAAAATTTGTAAGTACTCATTTTCAAAGTACTTATATGGGTAAAAATACTCAATAAAAAATATCGAGTATCGAAGTATTCGATACCGAAAGCCAAGTACTCGATACCACAAAGTATCGAGTACCGATACGTATCCCTACTTGTGTTACGTCCTGGCCTATGGATACGGTCGGGCTATGGTGGAGTAACGCAACAGTAAACGCGTCGTTTTCCATATCTCTCTTTACAGTGGACACGGAAGTCCCGCTGTGAGAGAGTCGAGAGAGTTTGTTTATATTCGTCGACAGGTCAACGGCGTACACCGATCTTACTCTGTCTAGCGAACACTCGCTCGTTGGTCCCCTTTTAGGTCTGAGACGCAAATCTCATTTACCAAGGACGGGACCTAGCGAGGAAGTGAGAGTGGGTAGTACGGGGAGAAGGATAACAAAGAATAATTCTTTAGTTTGATTCCATACATTATAAAGTAGTTATATTTATTAAAAGAACAAATCGAAATCTTAGCAAATTACTAACAGACAGGTGTGTTGAAACTAATACAATGACGGAGCGCATAATCGTTTTATACAAAGTAATCTATAAGCTAGGGTGCAAGTGTGAGAGGGAAGGGGAATGTGAGTTGTGTTTAGTGCAGCCAGCCTCTCTAACTCATATTTACGCAACTTAGATCATCTTAGAAATGTATTTCCTTATGTCAGTTGACAAATTCGGTTTTGTTTCATTTCTTAGAGTCCGATAGATTTAATGATAGGAATAAATTTGAATAAAGTGTCATGGTTCTACGACTGATATTCGGAGAGAAGCGAGCTTTGTTTGTGTTGCAATAATATTTAGGTACACGCATTATATATAAATTCCCTGTTTTATCTTCTAAGTTTATATATATAGATGGCGCTTGTGTTACACTCTAAGCTTCCACTCATTCTGCTCATGTGCGTGGCGCTGTACTTCTTCTTCTTGAGTTAATACTTACTTCTTACGCGCCAAAAGAAAAAGCTGTTGTTAACGAACTTGATCTCGTTTCTGTTTGTTTTAACCTTTTTCTTCCCTGCGTGTACGTATAATAATTACTTCACGGTCTTGTTCATTTTAGTAATTGATATAAACATAAACGTTGAATATATTTAAATGTGATTGTAGTTACTTTCACTGAATAAAACTGACGTTCTGGTAATAGGTTATGAGCCCAGCACGCTTCCACTGCGCGCATACCTTGGCTTAAACAGTTTGTGAATCAAGTGTGAAGTGCTTTTAAGATATATATACGTACAAAGTAGCTTGATTATCAACCAAAATGTCAACACCAAGTAACGAGTTAGCTAAGATTAAGAAATTGTCAGGACAGGATAATTTTTCAGTATGGAAATTCCAATTAATGCTGTTAATGCAAGAAAAAGGATTTGATGGCGTCGTAGGTGGAAGCGAGCCTAGACCACTTGAGGCAAAACAACTAGACAGCTGGTTAAAAAAGGACAAGGGTGCGAGAATATTGATTGGATTAACAGTCGAAGAAAACATTATCAATCTCATCATGGGGTGTGATTCTGCAAACGAAATGTGGGAAACAATTCTTGGACTCTATGAGAAGAAATCGAGTCAACGAATCGTAAGTCTATACAGACAGTTATATAATTCTAGGATGGGTCCGGACATGTCAATGACTGATTACATTTTTGTTATCCCGTGGGATCTTCAGGATGCCGCGAGGAGGGACGTCGAGAAGATATCTCAATCTTTGTAGTAACACCGTAGTTTTTATTTGAAATAATTACACGTTTTCTACACAACTTATGTTTACACCTTGATTCACCTAACTTCTAAGTCCCACAAGCGATGCTCTGTCGAGCAGAGCCTTCGGCCGCAACACGTTTCGGGATTANTCCNNCGACGCACAGGTGATGCCGNCTTTTATACCTCAGCCACTCAATCATGATTGGCGGAGGAAAAACCTGACGGTATCCGGTGTCCGAAAAGTGCAATGCAGACCATTGCATCTTTTCGGCCGCGCGTGCGACCTTTGGTCAGCGCGTCCTTGGACGCGCTATCACACTTCGCGTAGCGACCGCCGACTGGATCCTCGCGTCGGATTCCAGTAGCCCCGATAACCTTACAATAAGCATTTTAAACCGATCGATAACACAAACGGGAATTACATAAACAAACATATAACTATAACATATAATTAAACATACTGTTTAACCTTATACAAACACCTTATAACACATTGGTAATATCAAGAAGACACTTAGCGAATTGAGAGCAGCAGAAAGAAAAATAGAAGATCTAAATGTAATTGCTATTATACTGGATGGCCTGCCGTCGAGTTTTGTACATTTCTGCACCACGTGGGATAATAGATCGGATGTGGATCAGACACTTGACAAGCTATATAATGCTCTAATGAATGCGAATGAACGGTTGCAGAAACATGATGACGATGTGATGGCCTTAGCAACGTTGAAACCCTCAAAATCTAAAAGATCCGAAGCAAAGGGATCAAGAAATGACTCCAAGGTCAACGAAAAATCAAAGATCAAGTTCAGTGGTAAGTGTCATAATTGTCAGAAACCTGGACACAAGAAGGCTGACTGTTTTTTACTTAAGAAAACAGAAAATAAAGTAAGACAGAAAGAAGAAAAGACACAAGGTACGACTTTTCTATGTAACTCTGGTGAAACAAATCTAGTTGTGAGTCAACAGGATTGGATTGCTGACAGCGGAGTTATCACATGGCATTCGATCGGGAAGCATTCTGGTCAATGAAGAGCGAGGAAATTGATGAGACAATTGACTTGGCAGACAACAGAAGACTTCCGGTTAAAGGCATCGGTGAAATAAAAGTAGAAGCCTGAGTTGATGGTCAGTGGAGTGCTATAACTATTAAAGATGTTCGCTGGATACCAGAGTTAGGCAAGAACCTGTTCAGTTTTAAAGCAGCAACTAACCATGACTATGAAATAGTAACAAGTAAGCAACATGTCAAGATAATTCGAGATAGTAAAGTTTATGAATATGGCTTCTGGGACACTAATTTGTATAAAATGAAGTTCAGACCAGTATGGCCCTCACAAGCGTGTGTAGCTCAGAAGATGTCATTAAAATTATTGCATGAAAGAATGGGATATGCTAGTATTGAAACTCTGCGAAAAATGGTCAAGAATAATGCAGTATCAGGCGTCAAACTCAGCGATGAAACGACGTTCTTTTGTGAAGCCTGCCAGTATGGCAAACAGGCAAGAAGATCGTTTCATTCTGCAATTTCGAAGGACGTAAAGGCGGGTGAAGTCGTCCACACAGATGTATGCGGTCCAATCGAAGAAACGGCATTACATGGCTCTAAGTACTTCATGGTCTTGAATGATGAAGCGACTGATTTCCGAACGGTGTTTACGCTACGCAATAAAGAAGAGGTTGCCGAACGACTGATTGAATACTGCAACATGGTCAAGACGAAATTTGGTTCAGAGAGTAAAGTTGTAAAGTCAGATAACGGCCGAGAATTTGTTAACGGTTTTCTAATTAAACAATTCAAGAAGAGAGGAATAGTACATGAAACAACGGCTCCATATAATCCTAAACAAAATGGGAAAACAGAAAGAGAGATTAGAACATTGATGGAAAGTGCGCGTTCAATGATGTTCGCAATGAAGGTACCGAAATATCTGTGGAATGAGGTTGTGCTGACGGCGGCTCAAATTCTAAATTGGGTCACTACAGCAAGAGGTGCAGATAAAACATTTGAGTTATGGCATAAAAAAAAACCAGATATTTCAAATATTCACGTATTTGGATCAGTGTGTTATTCAAAGGTGCCCAAAGCATTACGACGAAAGCTGGATAAAAAGTCAGTTCGACGAATCTTTGTGGGATATCAAGGCGAATCAAATAATTATAAGCTGTTTGATCCTGAAACGCGAAAATTCTCTCACGCAACTAATGTAAAGTTTGATGATGAAGTCGGAAGCTTTGAGTTTGCAACGGTTACAGTGGGAGATGATACAGAAAGCAACATTGAAGAAGATAAAGATCCAACATGTAAGGATAGTGAAGACAAAAGACTTGAAGAATCACTGAAAAGGGAAGAACAAAAGTTGAATAAGCAAGACATAATGATGCTGAAACGTACAACTCTGAAATCCCCAGACAGATATAGTCACGCGATGATGGCAGTTAAAGAACCTCGAACATATGAGGAAGCAATGTCAAGTCCGGAGGCAGAGCAATGGAAGAAGGCAATCAATGAAGAAGTCGAATCACACATTAAAAATGTTACATGGTGCGAAGAAGAAATGCCATCAAATTAGAAAGCTATCAATTGTCGGTGGTTGTTCAAATTGAAACATGTATCAGGTGAAGAGGACCGCTTTAAAGCACGCCTGGTTGCAAGAGGGTTTACACAACGCAAGGGCATAGATTATGATGAGATCTATGCACCAGTGGTTCGAGCAGAGAGTTGCAGAGTTTTATTCGCTAAAGCAACAAAGGAAGATCTAGATATGATGCAATTTGATATCAAAACTGCTTTCTTGTATGGGGAGCTACAAGAAAATATTTGGATTGAGATACCAGATGGACCATGGAAAAAGGGGCATTATGTAAAGCTAAGGAAAAGCCTTTATGGATTGAAACAGTCGCCAAATTGTTGGAATCGTAAGTTTGATGCGGTGTTACGCAGTTTCTCGATGAAAAGAACAGACGCAGATGACTGCATCTACATTGGACACAGAAATCACCACCCTCTTTATCTAGCCTTGTATGTTGACGATGGGTTGGTAATGAGTGATTCTAAGGACATTTTGACGGAATTCTTAAATGATCTAAAGAAAGCTTTTGAAATAAAGATAAAGGAGCCACGGTTCTTTGTAGGTTTTGAAATTGAACGCAATCGAGAACGAAAAACGATAAAATTGCACCAAAGTTCTTACATTGCAAAAATAGTTGAAAAATTTCGAATGGATGATGCAAAAGGGTCAACGGTACCAGTTAATTCAAGTGTGAAACTCTCAAAGGAAATGTGTTCAGCCAACGATGAAAAGAAGAAAGAGATGCGATACAAACCATACGATGAAGTTCTAGGATCGTTACAATTTGCGGCAAACATGACTTGACCAGACATAGCATTTGGTGTAAATTTGCTAAGTCGATTCAAGGAAAACCCAGGTCTTCAACATTGGAAGGCAATCAAACAAGTTGTTCGATATTTGAAAGAAACACTCGAACAGGGAATTATCTACAACGGAAGTGATGAAAGTAACGTGAAGCTGATAGGATACTCTGATGCAGACTGGGCCTGGTGACCAGGATACACGTAAATCAACGAGTGGGTATATAATGTTAATGTATGGTAGACCTGTAGCCTGGATGTCCAGGAAACAAGACGTAAATGCACTCTCAACGTTGGAAAGCGAGTACATTGCAGCAGCAGCTGCAGTGCAAGAACTGATTTGGTTACGGATATTACTTATTTCTCTTGAGGATAGTGTAGACTCTTTGGTTTTATTATGTGACAATCAGGGAGCTAATCGACATAGTAATAGTGTTCAGTGCCATCGTCGCATCAAACACATAGATAACAAGTGGAATTTCATTAAAGACGAAGTTCAAAGCGGTAGAATTAGGATGGAATATGTATCTACTGAATATCAGTTAGCTGATATTCTGACAAAAGGATTATCTAAAGGGCGCTTTATATAATTTTCTTAAAGATAACCTAGGCAACCAGCTGACGTTATAATGACGTTAATATAAAGTTAGTTTTTGACCTGTTCGACTGCAATATTACACAACTTATTACTGCAATATCACACACAATATTGCTTTTCTATTGCAATATTACACTCTAATATAATAGAAATGTTACCGTAAAGTTAATGTAATATCACAATAATATTAAAATGTTCGCCAAAATGCATTACAGTAATATTACAATGATATGTAAAAAAAACTAATGGCACATCGTAAGAGGGGAATTAATTTGAGATCTCACTCGAATTAATTTTTGGAGGCCTGATTCAGTTTGTCGATCAACTGATTAACTCAATGAAAGATATTGGGTTCGGAAAAAATCCTGAAGGGGTGATGGTGAGATTTGAACTCGAGACCTCCATATTCACAGCCTCTGCACTCAGTCCGCACAAGACCACTTGTCCCTTAATAAAATGTAATTCTTTTCTCTGCTTATTCTCAAGCTATTCTACGCGTTTCATTTATTACTTATTTAAATTAGAAATATTGCAATGCAATATTTTTAATAAAATGCCTGCAACAATGGATAAGATTATTTCTCTTATTATTAGTATTATTATTAAATATAATTTAAAATACATTTTTTAGCAAGAACAAATTTTTTGTTAACATGTATTGATTATTAGTCAATTTTTAGTAAATATATACCAAATGATATAGACAAATATGTACACATAAAAATATATACACATTTATACGTACAATTTTATTGTATAATAATAATTATATAGTAAAAATGTTATATACATATATACCCAAGTAGCATGAAAACGTTCAGCGAATGTTAATTTTGTGTTACACATGTTTTATGTTAGACCCCGAACACTGATCTAACATGTTGAACTAATATAAGTTTGAAATGTTCGTACCTAAACGAAGAGAACGTTACGATTTGCGACTTTTCTTGGATCCTACATGTTAGTCTGAGAACATTCGGAGGACGTTTAGAAATTTTTTAAAACTTTATACAAATTTAAGATTTACCCAAGTAGCATAAAAACGTTCTCGTAATTGGGTAACATTTGGCGAATATTCTCAGAACGTTT